ATGCTAAAGCAAAATCTAAAATAGCTTTACCTTCTTCATTAGTTACTCCAAAACCGTAGCCACCATGAATATTTCTGAAATCTTCTACCACTCTACCGACATGTCCATTTAAATCTCTTCCAATAAAAATTCTTTCTTCAAGAGGTATCATTTGTATTAAGTCTTCTAAGTCATTCCAAAATTTATCTTTAGACTCTGTATCTAAACCTACTTGAGGAGCATAAACACTTATAATATTAAAAATCTTAGTATCAATGATAATCTTAAGGGCTATAATTCTATCACCAACTCTATTAATTTTTACACATTATCTTTCAAACTCTTATCTATAATTACACCTACACCATTTCTAGTGCGACTCTTACCAGAATACCAAAGTTTAAAACCTAAATTATCAATCTCCTTAGCCTTTTCTCCCACCCACTTAGTTTCTTGAATACATAAGATATTAATTTTCCTATGAATCATAATATCAACTAATTCCATTAATTTACCATTGAGAGTGCCTATATTCCAAGATCCTATCCTAATATTAGTTTCATTAGTTTCATGGACTAACTTCTTTACCCGCATTCGCCCGTAATGTGGGAACCCTTGCTTATTTAACACTACACCCGGGCGCCGGTGTAGCGGCCCTTGCACACTTTTCACTGTATTCAGGCTATACAGCGCGTCGCTTCCAGGGGACGCCCTAGCACTTACACAATGATCAAAAGGATTCATGTCATGATTTTTTCGACAAGTTTTACGCTGGCTGTCGACTACCTAACGCAACCCTCCACTTTTCTCATCCGGGCTTGGGACCGGCAACGGCAGTGTTATTACTAACTTAACTAAATGATAAAATATTTTATTTGAGTTATTATAAGTTTAGTTGATTGATTATTGAATGGATTTATTATTACATTAAGTAATTATGAGTTAATTAAATCCATTTAAATAGTTTATAATTTAATTAGATGATTATTTGTTTATTTAAGTATTTTGTTAATTAGTTAATTCAAAGTAATTTTTATAATTTCATTAATTTATGAATGAGTTAGTTAAGAAATTTTAAAGTTAATTAATAGATTAATTACTAAATTTGGTTATGTTAATTTCGCCCAATGATGATTTAAGCTAATTCGAGTTTTAAGGCATAGCTCTAAAAAATAGGTTTTTTAAATAGCAAAAACACCATTTTTCTATTTTTGATGTTTTGAAAATACACCTCATGTGTTTTAAAAGCAAAATTAAAAAATATAATAATAAATTAATAAACAACCATTATTTTTTGGTTTGTTTTATACTCTTTGCTCAAAAATAAAAAATAAAAAAATAGAAAGTCGTCCCTAACAAAGCCTTAGAATTGAGTGTTTCTTAACTATATATATAGTTCCAAAGAAAAGCCCAAATGAGAAAGAGCAGAGTTGAGCAGGTGTCTACTCGAGCTCAAGTTTGTCTACAGGAGTTTGTTTGAGCTTCCCTAGAAATTGAGATTGTTTATAACCATCTTAATAGAGCTCGTGAGCTCTATTTAAGTCAGTTCATATAAAAATTGTCAAGCTTATTAATGAATAGCTTATTTAATAATATAAACAAGTCTTGATCTTTAATCAAACATCGCTCAAGCTTTATACGAACTATGCAGGTCCATAAAAATGCATCTTTTGTTATAAAACATAAGTATACAAGTTATGCAAATCATTCATAATCAATTCTTACTCGAGCTTTGACTGGGTTGAATATCATAATTTCATACTTAGTTATGGGAGCATAAATATGAATTTGTTGTTTAGGGTGATAAGAGCCACGGTGATGTTGTAAATGAACCAATACACTAGATGAACAACTCCAATTTAGTTTGATTAATGCTCGATCATATTTATTTAATTTAGGGTTTTTTTTGGGATCACTTTCTATTTTTTTTTATTTTTTTATATTTTTAGATTGTTTTGTTTTTTGTTTTCTATCTTTTGCAAAATGTTGTTTGGCTCTGTTGTAATTTTTATATTATTAAAAACAAAATATATGATACATGTTTGATTGTATATTTTCGATTATTTTTAAAGAAAAAAAATGAATACATTTTATAGAGCAATTTGGTCCAAGTGCACTCCAGTATTAAGTTATGTCGCGCATCGTGTATACGACGTCTTCCTTGCTCCACCCAGCATAAAGTGTTACATATGGCAAGAGGGCGACGAGCGATGGGCAGCGAGTGGCAGG